GTGAACCACTGCGCCTGGCCTAACACAGGTGTCTTTAATTGGACAAACATGAAAACCAACACATACATTTGCAGCACTAGACATTCGGGGAATTGTCTTTCAGCAAATTGGCTGCTTTGCAGGTGGACCACTTGGGAGTGTCTACAGAGGCAAGTGCCCCATGGTGGCTGGAACAGACAGGGGTTCTTTGTCTCAGGCAGGAAGTCCCAGGTGCACAGTCCAAGCTGGCGGGATCTGGAGCTGACTGGCCCTCAGCCATACCGTCCTTGCTACAGCAGCCTCCCCTCATTCCTGCTTGTCACAGATGGTGTCCTCCCTTCCAGGGCTCTTATCCTGTACTGGGCAGGAAGAAGGAGAGGGGAAAGGGCTGACTCCTAGTGAGGGACTTGTGCCTTTTTCTCCCCAGCCAGGACTGTGTCCCAAACCCCCCTAGTTGCAAGGGAGTGGCAGGGAGTTGTGTTTTCAGCTGGTCTCATTGCTCCTTGAACAAAATCAGAATCTGTTGGTGAGGAAAGAGGGGGACGGGTGTGGAACTGGCAGCTCAGGGGAGGGACAACTTACACTCTGGACCACAGGGTGGGGGTGGAGCCGAGAAGGCAGAGCCACCTGCAGAGGTGGTCCTGTGGCTGGGCCTCAACAGGCAGTATGGGAGTGAATGTCTGAGGTGAGGAGCGTGGCGATGTAAAGGCCCCAGGATGGGCAGTGGCAGAGAGTGTGAAGGACAGGAGCAGTGCCAAGGTTGGTGCAGGGGTGGAGAGCAGGGGCTGCCCCTTGTTGCCCAATTTCTTTTCCAGATATTCTCTGAGCCATTGGGAAGGGTGTGGACGGTGGGACGGCCTTGATTCCATGACTGGGTTTGCATGCTAGCAGCAGCTGGCACGGATCGAGCTCTTAGGATGTGCGGGGCACAGGCCGAGCCTGCACATGCAAGAACACACGCAGTCCTCCCTCCAGGGCTTGGAGGAGGCGGGATTGTTGCTCTCACTTCCCAGAGGAGGACGCTGAGGTTCAGAGAGGCCAAATGAGCTGTCCAGGCATCTCAGTTAGGAAGCAGAGGGTCTGGGCACCCAACCCACGAAACCTCCACACTCTGCCACCTGTCCAGGGGCAGTTAGAGGGGAAGCTACATAGGAGAGGGTGTGAGTGAGAACCAGGAGGACAGCAAGGAGGCGATGGTGGAGGTCTGTCTTCATCCTGACATGGGCAATAAGGCGCTGGGAGGGTCTGGCAGAAAGGGTGTCTTTGGGTCTTGGGTGGTGGGCACCTGGGTGCCAGTCCCAGGCTGAGCCCCATGGCCCCTAGGTGTGCAGAGGCAGAGTGGATACTGCTCGGAGCAGCAAGCAGGGCCCGTGGACGAGGAGAACTGTGCCCCCCTGGGCCAGCCCGATGACCGCCAGAGGAAGTGCAGTAGCAGCCCTGCCCTGCCAGGTGAGCCCGTCCCCACTCCACCACCAACTCCCCACCCCCAGGCATCCTGGGTCTGCCACAGGCCCCTACATCTGGGTCCCCGGGGGCCCTGGGGAGGAGCAGAGGGAGCCGGGCTTTCATTCTCTTCCCAAGGCTGAAACCCCAGCCCCCAGTCCCCGTCACCCCAGCCTGGGCCAGCCTGGACACCTGTGGTCCTCCTCTTTGGGCCCCTGGATGTGGAAATAGGCCTCAGGTCACACTCAGTTTCCCTGAGGGGAGGGTGGCAGGAGTGGAGGGGCTGTGCCATGTCACCAGGCTTTGAGGGCAGGACACTTACCTGGGCTTGGAGCTCTGGAGAATCATCCACTGGCCTCAGTCCCAGCTCTGCCCAAACCCTGAGGGCCTGGAAGCCCAGCCTGGCCCTCCCTGCTGGTAAGCCTGCTGATGCCACTCATCTGATGCCACGGTGATGCCACCCATGTGCCCTCACCAGATGGTGGGCAGGTGAGTGGCAGCTGTGCTCCAGCTCCTGTGGGCCTGGGGGCCTCTCCTGCCGGGCCATGCTCTGCATCCCAGCATGGGGCTGGATGAGCAGAGTGCCCTGGAGCCACCTGCCTGTGAACACCTTCCCTGGACCCCTACTGAAACCCATTGAAACCGCCATGTGCCCTGTCCGGCCACCTGGGCTGTGGGGAACTGGTCTTAGGTGAGTGTGGGATGGGAGGGGGCTCGCCTCCAGCTCCACCCTTGGTCTTTGGCTACAGGTAGGCAGACAGCCTTCCTGGAGCCCTCGTGGGTGGGAGGGAGCCTGGGAATTCCAGGGTCCAGCCCCTGACTCTAAAGCCTCAGGGATCAGGAAGCCCCTGGCAACCATGTCCACAGCCATGGCCTTGAGCTGGGCAGGACCAGAGAGGGCTGGCTGGGGTCTCTGCCACTCTGACATAGGGTAGTGGACAGGTTACCCAGCCATGCCCCAGCGTCCCCTGGCAGCCTGCCTCGCAGCCTAAGCCCCTCACCCTGGCTTCCCCTGCAGTGCTCAGTGACATGTGGGGAGGGCACTCAGCACTGAAATGTCCTCTGCACCAGTGATACTGGTGTCCCCTGTAACAAGGCCCAGCAGCCAGCCAGCAAAGTCATCTGCTCTCTGCCACCCTGTTGGTGGCCCCTGGACACACTGTGCCCTGAAGGCTCAGACAGCGGCTCCTCCAGCCATGAGCTCTTCAATGAGGCTGACTTCATCCTGTGCCACCTGGCCCCATGCCCTTCACCTGCCTCATCACTCAAGCCAGCCACCATGGGCAACACCATTGAGGAGGAGGCCCTAGAGCTGGACACGCCAGGGCCCGTGTTTGTGGACAACTTCTACTATGACTACAATTTCATCAACTTCCACAAGGATCTGTCCTATGGGCCCTTTGAGGAGCCCAATCTAGACCTGGAGTGGACAGGGGATCGGACTCCCCGACCACACAGCCGTCCTACTGTGCCTTCCATGTGTAGCCCCGTGCCTGCCACAGAGCCTCCTGCAGCCAAGGAGGAGGGGGCACCGGGATCTTGGTCCCCTAGCCCTTGACCCAGCCAGGCTGGCTGCTCCCCACCCCCACCCTCAGAGCAGACCCCTGGGAACCCTTTGATCAATTTCCTGCCTGAAGAAGATGCCCCCAGGGGTGCCCCAGATCTTGAGTTCCCCAGCCTGCCCTACAGGTGTGAAGTTTGAGGCAGGAATGATGACTTTGGGGGGATAAGGGAGCCCAGCAAAGGCCAGTGGCAGAAGCGGGTGGAGGAAGGGCCTCAGATGGGCAGGACAGCTTCTGCTGGGCCTGTTTGGAACTCAGCGGTTCAGAAATCTCAGATTTGGGCCCTGAGCTGGGTCCTGGAGTCAGCTGGGCCAGCATTTGAGTCTTTGTTCCACTGGCTGCTGAGTGACTCTGGGCAGGTTGCTTTGCTTTGCTGGGACCCTGTTTTCTCATCTGCAAAACTGGGACAGCTTGGGAGAGGAGGGTTGGGAGGATTAAATGAAGGAACTCAATAAAGCACAGGGCCAGGCATAGCACGACACTGGCACAGACTCAGTTTAGGGTTTTCAGACCCACACCTAATAACAACGAAGCCTGGTGGGCTGGGCCCTGGCTGTGAAACCTGTCTCCTCCCCTCCTGCCCAAGGGCTGCTGCAGGTCCTCTGCCCTGCCCCTCAGGCACAGCGTTGTCTTGCCCACGTCTCTGCCCACTACTGCATCAGGGCTCCATCCCAGGGCCCCTGCCCAGGCCTCTCAGGTGTGTCCCATGTGAGGGGCTCACTGCCTGGCAGCCCCAAGGGCTGTCCCACTGTTCTCATGCCCCTCCCCTCTGCAGGAGCCGATCCCACAAGTGAGAGTGGGGTTCCAGCACCAAGTGGGTTCTAGGAGTGGGACCAGGTCCTCCAGGAGGCACTGAGGGGGCGGCTGGGAGCAAGGGCAGGTCTGTCAGGCACAGGGCGCAGGGATGGTTTCCCAGAGGCCCCCACTGCCACCACTGCTAGGGCTGGCCTGGGAGACACTCATTCCTTCCCTGTGTCTCACAGTGCTCAGCCCCCTGTGGCGGTGGTGTCGAGCGGCACCTGGTCAAGTGTGTCAACACCCAGACGGGGCTGCCCGAGGAAGACAGCGACCAGTGTGGCCACGAGGCCTGGCCTGAGAGCTCCCAGCCGTGTGGCACCGAGGATTGTGAGCCTGTCGAGCGTCACCGTGAGTCCCCTGACCCCAGGATCTCTGCTGAAGTGAGGTGGGGCGGGGAGGGCGATGGGGAAATGGGGTCGTCAAACCATTGCATCCACGGCACCGGCTGGCTCCATCTGTAGTCTGGGCTCAGGAGCCACGTGGCCACTGAAAATCCTGATGCCACAGGATGCCATGCCGGAGGCTGGGCTGTGCTGGGAGTCAGTCAAGGGTAGTCGCAGTCACACAACATCCTGCATCCAGCTGTCTGACCTCGGGGGAGTAGAGGGAGTGGCCCTGGCCCCTGATTTGCTGTGTGAACCTGGGTAAGCTCTTCCCACTCTGGGTCTCAGTCTTCCCATAGTGAGACCAGGGATGTCCCTGAGGCTGTGTGAAAACTGGGCCTGGGTGAGTCCCTGTCCCCAGCCTTGGCCTGTCCATTCCTCAGCCAGAGGACTGCCTAGAGTGAGCAATGGAACTGCAGGAAGGGCCTCCCTTCCAGGGTCCTGATAATCCAAGTAGTAGGGGGTTTCCTGGCCAGCTGGGTCCTGGTGGAAGGGCCTGAGCTAGAGGTGGTTCTGGATACCCCACTGCCCCCCCGCCTCCAACACACACACACACACACACGCACACACACACACGCACCCCCCCTACACACACACTCTCACACACTTCCTTCCTGAGTCCCAGCCGCTCTCAGCAGTGCTGATGGCAGGAAACAGGGTGGCCCTGGAGTCTCATCTAGGCTCCCCTCACCAGCTGAGTGGCTTTGGGCTCCATTTCCCTCTCAGGGCCTTCATGTGCTGAATAAAGGGGCCACCAAGCCCCATCTTTCCATAAATGGGGTCTGGGCATGAAGGGCCCAGCACTGTGTGGGCTCAGGAAAGGTGACTTTTTCCTCTCCCCGAAAGCCACTATCATCCCCAATTGCAAGGTCAGGGAGAGGGCCTGGGACCCCCCCCTGCCAATCTAAGGAATCCAGAAGCTGTGGTGTGAGGAGCTGCGGCCCCTCTGCTATTGACTGTCTGCTCTCTGCCCCTAGGACAGAGTCCTCAGCCAGGGCACTCAAGCTGGCATTTCGGGGTCCCCTGCAATCTCTCCAGTCTGCCTTCTCCCCTTGTCCAACGCAGACTTCTCTACCTGTGCTGGCTCCTGGGCAGCCCTCATTCGGGCTCAGCGTGGCCCCTGCCATGCCTCGCTACCCTGCATCTGGCAAGGGTGGCCTTCCTGCCTCAAACTCCATTACCTCAAGGCCCAATGGCAGTGCCCCCACCCTGTCCTGCCTGCCTTCAGCATGCACCCAGCCAGCATCTCAGAGCACTCCTGTGTGCTGCCTGAGCTGGGTGCTGGCACCATGTCTCTCACCTTCAGGGCTAGGGTGGTGGGGTGGTTATGATCCCTGTGGGTGAGGACCAGATGGGGCAGAGAACAGGAACTGAAGCACCTGGGGGCCTAGAACCAAGGACGGATGGCCCAGGAGGCTCTGGGCTTGCAAGGTCTCCCAGGGGCGGGTGTGAGTGGGCTGCAGGGAGTGGGCTATGGGGGCTGGTTAGGTGGCTGAACTAGAAGCTGTCCTATGTGAGGCATTTTCTGCCACCAGTGAACAGTGGAGGGGCGGCTGGGAAGGTGTCTTGGACTTTGAGACCCGGAATTCCCAGGATGTTCTGCTGGTCTGTGGGACAGTTGGTGGGACATGTGGAAAGCCGGGAAACTCCAGAGTGTGTGGTCGCTGCAGTGACACAGCATGGCCACATCTGTTTGCTGTGGAGGTGGGGTTGACAGAGGAGGTCAACCCAAGAGGGTTGACCAAGAGGTGAAGCAGCTTGTCTGAAGTCACCCTGGGCGACCAAGATGCAAGCCTGGAGATGTGCGCTTTGGAGCTCTGCCTGGAGCTTTGGTGGAGGAGCCTGCCTGCTGCCTCGTGCCCTCTGCTGGGCCTGGGGGATGTCTGCTGCCCTCCTGCTCCTCCTCCCCAGGGAGGTCTGCTGGAGTAAGCAGGGCCTGGGCAGCAGTTGGGGGCTGTCAGCAGTGGCAGTGGCATCAGGAGCAAGGCCAGGAGGCTGGAAACAAGCCACTTCCCGGAATAGCTCTGATAACCTGGGGCAGGAGGGCCCAGCCAAGCCTCAGCCCTGACGAGCACAGCCTGGAGCTGGCCTCCCTCCCCAGTGGGCCTGGGCTCAGTCCCTGGTTTCCACTGACAGCCTGTAAGGCCCACTCTCTCTAGGCTTCGTGGCCCACCTGAGAAGTGGGAGGCTGGTCTGGGAGATGGGACCCTGTGACGCAGAACCCGAGGCTGAGTACAGTCCCTGTGGCTGGAGGTGGTCACGGAGGCCTGGCAGTACAGATGCACTGGGGCAGGGGTCAGTGGGGGGAGTTGGGGGCAGAGGCCGCTGCAGGCAGTGTGGCTTTTCACCTGCTCCTCTGGGGCAGATCTGCAGGGGGCAGAGCAGCAATCGGGTCCATGAGAGCGTGGCATCTGGTGAGGCACGAAGCGCCTTGGAAGCTGGGGGGCTGCTGCCCAGGGAGGCCTGTCTGCAGAGGGTGGGGTGCTGGGGGCAGGAAGGTCTTCTGGGCAGGGGCACAGCTTGGCCCTTACTTGCTGCCTGCCTCCAGCTCAGGCTCCCAGCCTCCCCTGGGGCCCCACTCTGTGGTCCTCCGAGACCTGTTCCACAGGGATTGAGCCCACTTTGTCACTTGCAGGGACTGCCCCTTGGAGTGGTGGGGACTGGGTCCCCCGTGGGCTCCTCCCTGACCCTGTCTGTTCTATCTGTTGACTCTTCTGGAAAAAGCAGGCAGAGAGGGGAAGAGCAGTCTGGCCAGCTGTGCCCTACTTGTCCCCACGTGTCCCTTCATCTCTGTGCCCAGAGATAGGGCTGGGCTAATTGCTACCACCTCAGAGTGGCCCCTTTCCCACCACCAGCCCCAGCAACAGGTTCCTACCACGCTGATCGATGGTCCAGCACCTGGCACCTTCCTACCCACAGCCCCTTCCCCTCCCATAAAATCTAGTCCCATGGAGCCAGACAGTGGTGCCCACAGCAGGGAACAGAGGGGCATGAATGTGCTTTGAAAAGGGTCCTGTCCTGGCCAGGGGTGGGAGGCTGGGGAAGGGGCAGACACTGTCCTCCCAGGCCCAGGCCCAGGCCCAGGCCCAGGCCCAGGCCCAGCCCTGGATCCAACCCTGCCCTCTGTCTGTGAGCCTTGGACTCAGCCGTTGACAATTTCCTCCTCAGCTCTCCCCTTGGAAGATGTTACACCCCTTCTCCAGGTGGGGACACTAAGGTTCAGAGAGGTTGCCCTGCAGCCTACAGGGGTCACCTCCCACATTCTGTTCTCCAGCATATGACATCCCTGGACAAAAGGGGAGTGTGGCCCTGGAGTCTGCATGTGGCAGCCACGCACACTCAGGGCTGGGTGTATGCTGAGGGTGGAGTGGACACCACTGAAAATCACTCCTGACTGGGCACAGTGGCTCCCAGCACTTTGGGAGCCTGAGACAGGCAGATCACCTGAGGTCAGGAGTTTTAAACCAGCCTGGCCAATGTGACGAAACCTCGTCTCTACTAAAAATACAAAAATTAGCCAGTTGCGGTGGTGGGCACCTATAATCCCAGCTACTTGGGAGGCTGAGGAAGGAGAATTGCTTGAACCTGAGAGGCGGAGGTTGCAGTAAGTTGAGATTGCACCTTTGCACTCCAGCCTGGGCAAAAAAGCAAGACTGCATCTCAAAAAAAAAAAAAAAAAAAAAAGTTACTCCTTAAGGACTGAGACCAAGAAACAGTATCAGAGGCTGAACCCTTTTGTAATGAATGTCTGTCCCAGGACTTGGAAGGGAGGGAGGGAGCTTGACCAGGGGGGCTGCCTGAAGGTGCCTGTCCTGCTGCTCCCCAACTCAACATGCTCAACTCATTTCACACCAACATGCCCCATCCTCAGAGGAGGAGCCCAGGGCTCTGAGAAGAAGTAACTGGCCCAAGGGCACATGCCCTGCTGACACAGGCCCATCCTAGCCTCCAACTGCCCACCTCCAAGCTCCAGGCCACCCTGAGCAGGTGGAAGAGGGAGAGGACCCCAGGCAGGCCCCAGCTGTGGCTTTGCACAGAGAGGCAGCCTGCCAGAGTTCACACAGGAAAGCAAGTTGCTGGGCAAGCTAGCGTGATTCCCAGCCCCGCTGCACTGCCCAAGGGTGGAGGAGTGTCAGGCGTGCTTCCTGTCTGTCTACAGCAGCCCGGCTGGCCCAAAGAGACCCTGGGGACCCACTCTCTGAGTCATGGCTTCCCAGGCCTTAGTCAGAACTGCCCGTGGTGGCAATCCCTTCCAAGGGGTGGGGAGCAGGGCCTGCTGACTTGCTTCTGACCCACACACTGAGCCAGTCCCTGTCCCAACTCTGCCACCACTGCTGTGCTGTGTGACTTCAGGAACCCCCAGCCTTGCTGAATCCATGTCCCCAGAAGATAAAACCCTGTCAGGCCTTGGCCTGCCCTGTCTGGGAATCCATGCTGGAGCCACTCCAAAACACCCTTATGGGAAGACATTTGATCATCATTCTTGGGTGTTTTCCACTGATGCCTGGGCTTGTCCCAGTGGCAGCTGGGCCTGAGCTGTCAGCCCAGGCAGGAGACAAACAAGCCTGTGACTCAGACAGGGCATGGCACAGCTGGCGGAAGGAGGCGTGCCTGTTCTTTGTGGCTGGGTGGGGGGTTATCAGGACATAGGGAGCCTCCAGCTCCTGACTTTCCCACCTCAGTGTCCCCAGCCCACACCTGCAGCTTGGCCATGGTTCTTGGGGCCTCCCAAGGCTGTCCCTGCTGGCAAAGGCATCCTGATGCAACTGCCCCAGGGCGAACCAAGGGCAGGGACACCCAGAAATGCCATGCTGGAAGGTCAGAGAGCCCCTCCTCGCCCCCCAACACCAATAAGCCCTGGCCCACCCTCCAAGCCCTTGGGGTGAGCCTCATCACTAGTGACTATAATGGAATTTCAGTGCAGAATATCATACAAGTTAGTTTATTTCTTCCTTAGTACTTCAGTTCCAAAATGTAACTGGAAGGTCAGCAAAGGAGCTGCTGTGACATAAAAAGATAGAGTCATCTGGTGCCCCCTGCAGTCCTCCAGTTGCCCAGCAGCGGTGGGATGCTCAGTGGCACACTCTAGGTCTCTGTATGGCCCCCCACCTGCAAGGACTTCCCCAGGCAGGCCCAGCTGCCCAGAAGCCCCGGAACACGCAGGGAGACAACACTATAGGATGGCGGGTGGGGATCTGTGCAATACCAACATGTAGTTAGAAAACCCAACCAGGCGTCTGTCTAGGATACTTCCTATATCAGTATACTGTAGTTGAAATAATGGCAGCTACCGTAGCCATCAGCAGTGCCGCAGGCTACCTGAGGTAAGAAGTGGGCCAGCCCGCACATCACATCAGCAAGTCAGTGAGAGTCAGGGCCAGAGGGAAGAGCAACTCGGAGGCTCAGGCTGGCACAGATACAAGGGAGTCACACACATAAGCACTTGTTATATAAGATAGATATGTGGAATCCAGAAACATCTTGGGCAAATAGCCTATAAAAATATAAACTGTAGTGAAAGCACACAAAAGTATTAACAGAGGTTCAACCCATCAAAAAACCCCATCCATTTAAAAGTTGGCAACTACCAGCAGGTGTGGGGAGGGAGCTCCCATCGGTCCTTGTGCGTGTATTTGGACAGGCCTTTGGGTTTCCCAGCTGGAAAAGTCCCCCTTGCAGGGGCCATGGGCTGGGTGTTGGGGTGAAGGTTCGGAGGAGGAACAGCAGTGTGGGGCAGCCCCTGCCAGAAGGGCCCCCTGCCATGGCAGCCAGTGGAGGCCAGGGACCTTCAGGGCACTGGAGGGGACAGAGCAGCTCTTTCCTCAGTGACATGAAGCGGGGAAGTGTTAGCGCTAAAGAGTGAGCCCACAGTCCTGGAAGGAGGAGTTGGCTCCATCCTGTTCCCCAACCGGCACCAGGGAGAGCTGCCCTCTCTTGCCTCCTGGACATGCGGCACTTGATTCCAGGTAGGAGAACCGCTGAGAAAGTGTCCCCAGTCCCTTTCCTCCAGGAACTCTCCTGCTCTCACACACACACTGCCAGGCAGCTGCTGACAACTGCCTGGAAACACGAACATACTACCGTGGGTTGCAGCCATGATGGGACCCTGGTCAGGTGCATCTCTCGGCAAACTGGACAACATGAGCCTGTCCCTAAAGGCAGCGTCTTAGCCCCAGGACATGGCAGTGTGTGTTGGCATGTTCTAGGGGCCATCAGCTTGGAAAGTAAAACCTGAGGGCAGCTGGTGCTGGCCCATGGGCCCAGCCCCATTCCTGCTGTACCTCCTCAGCAGCTGCCCCCCAGGCTGACAGCTGTTGTTTCTGATGGGCTGAGGGAGTGGGAAGTTCCAACACTTGATTTGAGCAGACTGCAAGGCCCAGCTCACAGGACAACTTCCTGAAGGAGTCAGACCTCAAACTGCTGCTCTCAAAGACAAAGACAATGGCAAAACCCATTTTTATTGCCTGAAAAGAGGCAAAGGCTTTTGGCTAAATATAGAGGCCAGCCCCTCTACCCAATGAAATGTTAACCAGCTCCACTAAAGACATGAAGCCGGGGCTCAATCTAGTGTGCTGAAATGCCAGCTTTGCTGTGGCACTGCTAGAAAGTTGACAGCAAAATATAATAGGAAAAAAGTACTTCTTAAAATTGCATTCCACCGTTGAATTGGAATCCCGAACCGTCATACTTGGTGAATGATTCCCACAAGTCAAGAAGGGCATTCCACAGAATCTCACTGAGCCACACCAGGCACGCGGCAAGCTGGGGCAGAGCAGCCCAGTGATCTGCAAATGCAGGCTGGCCATGAGAAGTGAGGGTGGGTGTCTGGGAAGCCAGGCCCTCCCCATGCAGGCTGGGAGCCACTGTTGGAAGGGTTGTGTGTGGAAGAGCAAAGGCTATTCTAGAAATGGGGCATGGCTAATAGCTTAAAACCACTGGTGGGAGGTTCATGGGCTTTCTACAGTGGCCATTTCTGAACAAGGGATGTGCCTGCTTTTCTAAGGCAGTCCCTTTTCATACTGACCTTATGCCTGAGGCAGCAACCCTCTGGCCTACAGGTGCCTGAAGCACAGTGGGCATCCTTCACAGCACTGCCATTCAAAACCACACACCACTGCCCATCATGGACAGGAGAGAGAACATGGGGAGATGCCCAGCAAAGCAAAGTTTTGGGGTCAGAGCACCGACAGGCTGATGGAGGCTGGAAACAGGCTCTTGCAAATAGCCACTGGTAAGCCTGGGGATCCACCAATCAGGCAGAAAGCATGACTGAGATACGTGTAACCAAAAGCGTGGCATGGAAATGGCTGTCAACAGATGAGACCTCCCACCCCTGCCCCCACACAGTGGGAAATGAGGAAGTGCTGTCTGGCTTTGGACATCTGCCCAGCAGATGTCCCAGAGGCCATACGTGTTATGTTCTGGCTTTTAAGCACGCTTTCAACCTTTGGGCACATTTTGGTTGTGAAGGTAGGAAGAGAAGTGTCCCAAAGCCCACTCAGGTATACTCTTCCTCATCGCTGACCAGCTCACCCTTGTCAGGGTTGGTGTCCTGCTCATGCAGGAAGTCCTATCAGATGGACTCCAGCTTGATCAGCTCCACCTGGACCTTCTCCAAGTGGTAGGTGCGTCGGTTCCGGATCTGGCATAGGGGAAAGGGGTTCAGGTCCCCAAAGGAGATGCTGATCAGCTTCATGGCAGGATGCAGGGGACAGACAAGAGAATCAGCAGCGCTTGCATGAGTGCTCACACACAGCCCTCACAGGCACAGCAGGTGGCCTGGGGCAGGGTGGGAAGAGCACTGGCCAGGCTGGGGGTCTGATGTAGAGGATGAGGCCCATCTTCTGCAGAGAGGTGACAAGGAACAATGGCCCAGCCAGGGGCAGGCTCAGAATGACAGCCTGGACTCCAGCTCTGCCACATGCTTGCTGTGTGACTGAAGTCACCACCTTTTCTGGCCTCTGATTCCTCATCTGCACACTGGGATAACAGTAGTGCCACCTCCTAGGGTGTGGGATTACTTGAGTTCCCATATATAAGCACTGAGAAGAGTGCCCAGCACTTGCATGGTGATGGTGGGTGTGGGTGTGTCTGCATCCTCTGGCAGGCATGAGGCCTGGCACCAGGCATGAGTCAGGGATGTCTGTGTCCCAGGACTGATTGACTGGGAATGAGCACAGGCCCAGGCAGTCCTGGCGATGACTGTCAGATGTGACAAGTGTCCAGATGCAGACTACAGAGAAATGTGCAGTTTGTGGGTTTCAAATTATCCCCAGGTCATGGCTCCAATTTACAATAAAAATGTTAAGGTTGTGATCACTTGCTCCTAACCACTGGTCAGTGGCTTAATCAAAACAAAACCAAAAGCTGTCCTGAGACTTGGCTATGGATTTGTAGCACTAAGGGGTCAGCCATGCTGGTCTCTGGGGATCACAAAATAAGCCAGTTCCTCCAACACGGGGCCACCATCTTCCCCTCTCTCGATTCTGCCAGGCTCCAGATGCTCTGCATCCAGCAACAGGGTCTCATTCGCTTTCCTGTCATCCAAAGCCCCAACAGACACACCAGTCTCAAGAAAAGCTGTGATGAAATAGAAATGCCCTGAAGGACTTCCTGCCTGTCCCCATCAGAGCAGGCCATTTGCTCCTGCTGCCGTCAGCTGCCTGGGCTCCTGTCAACACCAGGCGCACGCGAGGGCGCAGCCTTTTATGTTTCTAACACCGCTCCCTGGACAGGCTTCACTGTTGTCCACAGGCTCAAGGTCAGAAAGGCCAGCTTTATTTAAATTCTGAATTCCCCAGCATGTGTTCTAGTACATGGGAGCATCAGAGAACAGGGAAGGCCCAAGCACAGGGGTCCCTGCATGTGGATTTCTCAGGTTCCGCCTCCTGCCTGGCTCTGCAGACTGGGCTGCCAGCCCCACCAGGTGGGAGGAGGCTCCGAGTGAATGGGGCACGGGGTCCCCACTCACCAACACTTTCTCCCCGATAGCTGTCAGCCCACAGCCCCCACAAACCCCAAACCTATAGCGCTCACCCCTTCTGTGCTGCAGAACATGAGCCCAAAGTGTAATTCTTCTTTTGCTCCTCAGTCAGGAGCTGACAGAGGCCTCTGAGCCCAGGCTGGCATCTGGGAAGCCAGACCCCACCTCTGCCTCAGGCCTGGAAGGTTCTGCTGGGAGATGAGAAGGTGCCTCATGATTAGATAAATTTGGGAGACGATGCTCAGCACCTTGAAAGGCTCCCAGAAGTCCTGCTGCAGAGCCTGATTCAATCCTATTTAACCCCTGTCTCTTGAATGCAGCTGACCACACAACTCCCTCCCTGTGCTTCTGAAGGCCACTCACTGTGCTGCAGGACTGGCCTCCTTGCAACCACCAGTCTGGTTGCATTAAAACACTGAGGCTCCAGCCCAGAGGCAGGTTATGGACCCCTGCAGTCTTGATAACATTGGGGAGCCAGATGACATAGCCTGGCACTCCTTAAAGCACCTGTTGGTCTGGCGAGCCCACTTTCTAAAGCAAGCTGCAGGGGAGACCATACCAGGAGCCACTCACAAAGAGGCACTGCAGGAGCACGCAAGGCCTAGCAGTGTGGGAGGGGCCAGGTCGGCCTGTGGTGCCAGGGAAGGGGCGGGCACTCACCAGAGCCACGCCCACTCACCTCCACGCCTCCTGGCAGCACCTGGGACCCAGTACAGAACTGAGGGCAGCAGCCCTAGCTGTAGCTGTCGGCATGGGTGAGCTTACTCCATATCACTCTCAGCAATCCTGACCCAACATGAGATGAACAGAAACTCTCCAGGCTCACCCCACAATTCAGAATCAAACTTTCCCCAGCAAATATGTTTCTCATATCCTTCCTCATTTGGCAGAAATCAGGGCACTGTTGTTGGTGCTATTAGTAAGCCTGAAACTATTACAAACCCACTCGCAATAAAATACCCTGAAAATAGTGATGACTTCCAGAATGGCCTCAGCCAGCACCTCAGCTCCCTGTGTCCAAATCAGCTGTCAGGGTCAGCGCAGCCAACAGCTGTGGACATATGGACGAAGGTGGCCCAGAACAGCCAAAGACCGTGTGGCCAGGGAGGGTTCCTGAACACTTGGCCACCCAGGCCAGAAACCCAGGGCTCTTCCAAGTCAAGGATCACTTGAGCCCAGGAGTTCAAGGCCAGCCTGGGCAACACAGTGAGACCTGGTCTCTGCACAAAAATTTTAAAACTAGCTGGGCTTGGTGGTGGCATGTGCATGTAGTCCTAGCTACCTGACAGGCTGACGTTGGAGGATCACTTTGAGCCCAAGAGGTTGAGGCTGCAGTGAGTGGTGATCTTGCCCAGTGTACTCCAGCCCAGTGACAGAGCAAGATCTTATCTCCAAAAACTTTTTAAAAACTGAGTAGACAGGTGTCCTAGTGGCATGATAGATCCTGGGTCCCCTTCCAGATCTTTGACCTTTGGCAGCTGACTTTTCCTCTGGACCTCAGTGTCCCCATCTGAGTGAGAAAAGGTGGTGGGGAGGCAAATCTTCGAGTTGAAGCAGTGTAGAAACCACATCTGAAAAGCCACATTTGGGGCTCCAAGTCCAGCACACTGTAGCAGGACGAGCCACAGACAAAACTCCTCAGACACCAGATTGAAGAAGGAAGAGGATTTTTATTCAGCCAGGAGCGTCGGCAGACTCGCATCTTAAGAGCCGAGCTCCCTGAAGAAGAAATACGTGGCCTTTTTAAAGGCTTACAACTTTAAGGGATCCATGTAAAAGGGACACGATAAATCAAGCATGTGTGGAAAATGTGACAAGGGGCTACATGCATCAGCTAACAGAACAAAAAGTTTTACAGTGCTTTCTCATACAATGTCTGGAATTTACAGATAACACTAGTAGTTTTGGTCAGGGGTTAATATTATCATTATTATTTTAACCACCAGGGCCAGGTGGTGGTGCCAAGGTCGTCTAGTTATTTATCTTACTTCTGTTTCTTTCCAACTTTTTGCTTTCTCCCCCTTCTCCTGTCTTATAAACTAGGGAAAAGGGGAGAGGGAAAAGCTGAGAAAGACAGCAGGAGAAGTGGTGGTCTCATTCTATAACACAACATCAGCAGAGCCCGGTGGGACGGCCAGGGCAGCACAGGCATCAGGTCCCAACCTCCTTCCCTCTTTGCCCACTCTCAGACCAAGAAGCTCATCTTCTCAGAGCTGCTGTCCAACCTATACTTGCATGGGGATCAGAACACGCTGATGGAGGAGTCAGCAGAACAGGCACAGTGGGGCAATGAGATGCTGCACATGTACCACATGCTGATGGAGGCACCCAGCATCATCGGTGACACCAACACAACCACCATCAGAATGCCCACGGGGCCCATGGATGTCTTCTGGCTGCAGATGCAGAGTGTCTTGGCCGGACGCAGGTACCAGGGCTGGCCCCCATGAGCTCAAAGTCCCCCAGCCTCCATGACTGGGCCTGGGGGCTCTTGAAACAGGTGCCGTGCCCAAGCTAGCAATTGTGAGTGCTCTCTGGAGCCGTCAGAGAGGGCAGAGAGCTTGTGGTTTATGGCATAGGGGCTGGGAGCTTGGAGGGGTTATGTGTGGGGCTGCACTCTAAGGTGGCCAGACACCTAGGAACATCATCCTGGGCATGCCGTACCTGTCGTGCAGTCTGAGTCATGCTGCCAGGGCAGGGCATCCAGCTCCCAACCTGGGAGTGCCAAGAGCCAAATCCACTGCAGAGGAGGGGTGATTGTCAGGGTCCCACCTCCTGTATCTGTTGGCAATCCAGTGGCGATCTAGGTGAGAGTCCCATGCACATGGTCATCCCACAACACACTCCACAGGCCAGGCAGGGACACACAGCCCCCTTCCCTCTCTCCCAGGTACCATCATAGCTGCTAGCATGTGACCAAAGGCAGGGTCCCTGGCCCCCACTGAAGTACTACCACTGGCCAGCGGGCTCACGCACCTTGGTCTGTTGCTCCTAGGGGCCACCTGTGCTATTCAGCCAAGGGGACCACAGTGCCTGCTGGTCCAGCTGAGCTCTACCTAGTGAGCCTGCCTGCCACTTCTGCCACAGACTCTCCCTCTTCTGCTTTTCCCAGCAGGAAGGGCCCAACCTCACCTATGCAACCTGCAGCCCCTCCGAGCCCAACCAATTGAGGCTCCCCTCTTAGATTTATAAGTCTATGGCCAGTGGCATCCAGCTACCTCTCCTCCCTGCCTTCCCCAGGCTCCCTTCAGAGGGCCTTAGGCTTTCTGACTGCACAGAGAGAGGCCTCTGGCACTCATTCCAGCCATCCATCCCTTATAGCTTCACCATTTTAGTTCAAGCAGTGTTCCTTCTCTATCAGGCCTGGTGGTTGTTGGGTGGGGTTCCCCAAGCAAGATGTGGCCCCGGGCCATGGTGACCAGGGTGACCAGAGAAGAAAGAAGCCCAAGGGAACTGAGCATTGGTCTGAACTGCGGGTGCACTGCCTGGATGCCATGGGAGAGGCGTGTGTGGAGTGTGGAGGGCCGCTGTAGCCCCCAAGCACTACCTGTGAAGCTCCGGGTCCTCCCTCCATCTTCCTCCCCTTTCACTTCCAGCCCCTCTTTTCCAGGATCCTTACCAAATCCGCACCTACGCCCTTCCCTCCCTGGCCCTCCCACAGCTCCTGCACCAGTGCTCTGTGCTTGCCTCACCAGCTCTGGCTTTTCTTTAACCCATTTTCTCTCTGCTTTCTCTCCAACTACCAGCTGAACGGGTCAGGCAAGTCCATCCTGTCTGGAGAGCCCAAGGCCCTCCTTCAATCTCCGAACAGATCCTCCTCTTCTCGGAGGCCTCCCTTTCCAAGCCTGCCTGGGCAGGTGTCCTGTGACTTGACAGTGGCTCCCCAGCCCCAAAGTCAGCCCCTTTCATCCTTGACTTAGTCTATTGTAGTGCTGAGCTGACACATCCAGGTATGACTGTTGCTGAAAACTTGTGCCCCCTCTGTGGTATGCCCCTGCCCTGTTCTATAAATAGCTATATATACACACACACACATGTGGTTGACCGCCTCACCTCCAGAGCTGGGAATCAGTCACCGTGCTGTCATTTTGGAGGCTTGTGGCTCATCAAGAGAAAGCTGTCCCCCAATATCACCCCTCCAAAGTGCACCACCTCCAGTGAGCCTCCCTGTCATGACCGGCCTGTGGACAGCCAGCCCCCACCATCCCTCCCATCCTCCACCAAGCATGAGGGTGCTGTGCAGGCAGCCGTGTGGCCTGACAGTCTCTACTAGTCCTGCTGTCCCTCGGCTGAGAATCAAACCCATTTCTGGATGACGGGGAATGTGTCCTCTGCTGGCTGTGTTCTCTGTGGAGCTCAGGGGAGGGAAAAGGTTAAGCCATTTCTAGGGTGCTGTTGGGAGCACTGAAAAGGCCAAACCCTTTCCAAGGGACACTTCCTGGAAAGCCCCTGGAGTTTAGCTGACTCTTATCCTGTGAAGCCAGCTCTGGCCATTAGCAAGCAGGGCCATGAACTCAGCCTGGAGGAAGCCTGAAGGGCACTTGTCACTCTGGAGGGAGAGACACAACAGGCCACCCAGTGCAGACAGGAGAGGGAGGCAAGGGGACAGAACGGAAGATGCCTGGGGTGGATGGAAGTCAGTGGCCTTGGGTGCTGGTATCTGTCTTCCTGGCCACCACTATATCAGGCTTCTGAGCCTGTTGGCTGTCAGGGCTGGACTGTGCCCCATAGGCACCATGGCAGTCCTCGTGAAATCCACCAGGTGTCACCAGGCAGCATACACGTAACAGGCCTGGAAGGTCCCCAACAGCCATCTGGACATGCTTAGACATTCTGGGGCTCCTCGTTCAGTGGGACAAACTGCAGGACCCAGTGAAGGAAACGGAAATATACCAGGCCGAGCAGTATGGCTAAATCCGTTTATTCCAAAATAAAAAACAACAACAACAACAACAACAACAACAAAAAAAAAAAACAGGAGTCACATCACCAGGCAGCCACGACCTGCCTCCTTCCTCCCTCCTATGCTAGCAATAAATAAGTTTCCCAGCCACAAATGCTTAGAACTTCCTCCTCATATGCTAGCTCCAACCTCCGCTAGGTAAGGTACAGGGGGTGGCCCTACCCCCTGGAATATACAAAATGTTACACAGATACTATATGTACACTGGGGAAGGGGGTCACCCCAGCAGCCTGTGCGCTTACCTGGTCCCCACTGTCCCACCTCAGCTGCCTCCCTGAATAAGAAGATGGGAGCCCCCTGAGGGAAAAGTTGCTTTGGTGAGAGTAGAGAGGCCATTAGGCCTTCTCCAAACAAACCAGCTCCACCAGCCTTTGGCTCTTAAATAACAAACATCATCCAGAAATTTAATGACTCAGCCCTGGTCAAGGTGGCAAAGGGTCTGTTTGTCTTCCTCCATTAGACAGGGGTCTTATCTTGAGACCCTAATGGTAAAGGCGTGGTTGGTACATGGTGGGGGCAAAGACTCCAGACCCACTTCTCTAGGCTTATGCTGATAGGGGCCTGCTTTTATTTACTTTTATTTTTATCCCATGACATTTTTTGAAATCCCATAACTCTTTTTTCATAACTTTTAAAAAACACTTTTCATAAAACTTTTTTCCACTTTTGTTTTGTCACAACGTTTCCACAGCATTTTCACCCTATAACTTTTTCATCCCACAACTTTTTAAAATGCCCATTACTTCTTTTTAATTTGCATTCTTTTAATAAACACACTTTCATAATTACAATTTTGTAAGAATAAAAACTGATGTGCTCATGCCAAGAGTGCCCAGCATTTGCACAGTCTCAATACCTTTAATACTATAGTTTTCAGACACACTAAATTTTAAGGCAAAAATGGCAGTTTGCAACAATTTCATAATTTATTACATTACAGTAGCACCACAGCAGCTGTCAATAATGGCACTTTAGACAACAGTCTTTCAGTATTTCCATTATACATTCTGTTTACAAGAATTCATAAATTGGTAAAAGTCATTCTAAGAAAACTTGGCAAATAAAGCTTTGGACTGGAATTGCCATTTCTTTCTCTACTTTTCCTTCCCCCAGTTTATTTGTTTTAAACAACAGAATTCATAATTTAAAATGTTGTAACTTATTTCAAAATATTAACATAGCAGTTACATTTTTGAATAGTTATATTATTTTAAAGTGACTCTGTAACATAAAGTCTTAGAGAAACTACTATGGATAGGGCTGATGCACGTTTTCACATTTTCTAAAAATCAGCATTGGTTTTAGAACTGATTATTTTCATTTCTGGAAAACCTATCAGGTTTAATCAGATACTTTAAAAATAATGACCATATATTGCAATCTTTAAATAGGTATTTTGATTCTTTACTTCCTACAGAAATTCAAATTTATTCAGTTGAACTCACATTTTAAAATTCTATATTTCTGATGAACTCTAAACTTCTAATGTTGTCTTCTAAGCAAATTGAAAGCTGCGTTATACTGAGTGAGGAAAAGAACAGATACTTGCTGAATGAGGTATTGCAAAAGACTTCATGCACTTTGATGAAAGACTTAAGTTATTGTGATATGATTTCCATTCTTTTTAATTTTGTCTTAAACATACGACAGAATACCTACACAAAGAGCAGTATTTCAGCTAATACAGTACATTTATTTTCCAGATTGACATTCAACTTAAATATGACAATATGACAGTATGTGATTTAATCCATAGGTCCCTGATGAACACATTATTGTCAGTTTGGTTACAGATGCTAAACGCGATCTGAAGGTCATTCCTAGTCATTTATATGTGTCAGAGCAAAAGTGAAGTGATTGAAACTATAAAAATGCCTTTGAAATAATACATCAATGTATTAGTATATCAATGTATTAGGTAAAACGAGTTTCAGAATGATAAAGAAAAACTGTTAGACCAAATAAAATGGCTAATTAACAGTGGTACGCTTTCTAGCCCGAGGGTTTAAAATGGACTTGAAGTAACTGTCTTTCAAGTGACCTCAAATAATGTGAAAACGGCAAGTTCACAAAATAGAAGGCAAGAACAGGAACTTAAGTCCATGAAGTTTTAGCTGTTAATTCTTTCCCAAACATCATAAAGTTATTATTTAGGCAACGTATGACTGAAATAATTCATTCATCATGTATAGGCACATTAACATAAATATGGCACAATATACCTCTAACTGAAATCGAGAGGTATAAAAACATATTTCACTGTTCATAAAGAACTTTGTGAGGAAATATAACTCTGTGAATGTGTAGACACATTTCCTCATGATACTGTGACATTCACAAACAGTAGATTGCACTGCAGTTTGTAAACATTTTAAGTTGCATAAACATCTCCTTGATTTTCAAATGTAGTATAATACTGTCTACTAAAAACTCCTTTTTGTTTCAACTAAGTACTCTCACATATATTGGTTTATAATAATGGTTGTTATTAAAGTGTTTTCCATTCAAAGAAAAGAAGTAAATTCCTCTGTCAGAGTAACCAATGTGGTTGAAGAATAGCCAGAGAGGTCTAGATGGTAAAATCAATCTTCTAGCCTCAAAGAAGCTCCGTGAACATAGAGGAATGCCAGGTGTCACACAGCTTTCCTTCACTCGAATTCATTCTTGACTAGAGCCTGTATGCCTGTTCCAGGGACATTTAAACTCTGAAAGGATTTCTTATGATCTTTACTAAGTACATTAAGAAGAAAGCCAACCAGTGCCCTTTTGTGTACTGGGACATGTAGTCATGTGATTAAAACAGGTAACATGGACTCTGACTTTAAAACGTATTGTAGACATAAAATGCTCTAGGCTGGAAAAGGTTTTCTACATCCACAGTCAATGATGGGAGTCTTTCATTCCTCAGATAAGATCTCTTTTTAGGTCATCGGCAAAGAGTACAATTGCTGCAGCTCATGATGCAATATCTTCATAAGCCCAGAGCACACACAAATCCTAAGGGAACTACCATAGTACTGCGCTCGTTTTTGGCAATGAAACGAAACATATTCTATCCTGCACACACCTGCCAGAGCAGGCCACTTTCCTCTTCTGTGAGATTTAAAAAGCTCCCCAAAATGTTATTAGTCCCATCCCCAACACACAGAATAAGGGGGAAAGGCTGTTTCCAGTTCTCGGCCTTTAAACAACTCTAAATGTCAGTACTCACAGTGGCATATTACAAAGTAAGAAACAGTGCGCACTTGAGGGAAAACCACATATTGAGCTAATGAAGAGTTCACTGTGATTAGGATCCTATCAAACATAATATCAGAACATAAGCAAATTTTATCTGAATTCCATAATGAATATACATGCCGCAATAACATCAAAAAAAGCATGGCAGCCTATTCCAAACCAGCAAGAATAATTTTGTGCAAATAGTGGGTCTTTGTGTGCTTGAACTCCCACCAGGTAAGGGCAAACTCGATATGTGAGCTAATGACTTACAATTATCAAATTAAAAAACAAAAATGCTAAAGGATGTCAGAGTGAACATCAGGAAAAGATCCACTCTCCCTTACCTTT